TGGAATCGACTCGACAGCAACGGGTGACAGTAATGGTATATAGGGATTGTGGAATCTAAATATTATGTCATTATGAGTAAAACTGAATTAAGTTATTAAAGCATTTGGTCTTCTAGAGCACCAATAAATGTCAATATGCTGAGCAAAATTTGAAATCATGCGCAAAGTGTTGAAGCATATATCCCATGTAACAGGCACTCAAAAATCATGCCCAGTGAAACTGCTAACAGCAGTTCCACATGTGATTATTTAAATTTGTTCTAATGAACACGAGGAACTGATCTTTGAAGTGGCCCCTGGTGAGATTCCACTTTCTCTTTACAGCATCCTGAGAGGATTTATAGGGTGAAAAATGAGGACCTTATTTAATTTATGGATTAATTAAGTGGATTTGCACCTTCTGCAAGTTAGGTGAAAAGAAGAACTCCCACTCCCCATCCCATAGCCCTATATCACCCATTTAAAATAACTACAAAGCCAAATCCTTGCTACTGTAGGACTCAACTAAGATCTGTACTTTGTATTTCAGATGGATGAACCAATGAGAAAAGCAAAATCAAGCTCATTGTAAAGAGATTTGTGGTGTTTGTCATAGATACTCTTCTTGAAATATTCTGAAAGTGCATATTCTGACTGTGCTTGTAAAGGACAATAGATACAGAAGAAAAATGGTTATCATGTAAAAGGTTATTCACATTAGAGAAACTGAAAACACAAAAAAAGAAAAAATCTGAGAAAAATCTATGAACATGCTCTATAGCCTTCAGCGATAATTAAGGTCCTAGGTAATACCCTGGATTAACTTACTTAAATTATGCCTTATTAATTCTAATAAATGTAGAGATAAACTTGTGACTCCACGTTGGCCCACTGCCCTCTCTGCACCTCTCTCGTGCCAGTTATAACATTCTAGCTCTGTTGCAGATATTTGCACATTTACCTTCCTCCCTACCATCAACTTCTCGATGACAGCAGCCACACTTCAATGATGCTTGAATGACTCACAGCACCTAGCAACGTGCTTTCCTCAAAGCAGGTATGCAGCAACTGTTTGTGCGAATGAATAACTTTATCAGATCTTTTTATGGTTTGACAAAACTTTAATGTGTGGGTTTTAGCCAGGTTTTATGAAGTAGCAGCGTTGGGCGTGGAACTGTGAGGCATATCTTCCTAGTCATCTTTCAGTCATGTGAACAGGACAAATAACTGCTTGTTTCCACGTGCACAAGAGCAGGAGCATCACAACTCATATTGTTTGAATGGAAAAAAATCCCACAGCTGAACCATGGATGCCTGTGAATTCTACAAATCACAAAATATAGGACTATGAACTTGGAACAACTTGTGGTTCCTCATTCAATCGCCTAGGATAGGTACAAGAGATGAAAAAATCAATTGAACAAGAACTACTAAGGTGAAAGAGAAATTAAGCAGGGTGAACACAGTGGATCTTTCAAAAGATGTGAGGCCAGCTGTTAAGTTTTACATGCAATTTTGTAACCTCATGCAAATGATTGGATTCCACCTATCCTGCTGGCTCTGTTTTCTGGGGCTATTTGGCCTTCTCTCAATCAAGCCAGAGTTCTTATCACCTGGAAAAGGCATGGTGGCTTGTATGTCTCATACTGTTCCAATTCCCCTGGCTGGGAGGAGGGATCCTAAGGCATTTTCTCTACAGTATTTGGATAGAGTCATTTCTTCATTCTGCAAATACATTTTTAGTTCCTACTTACTACATGCTGGGCATTGGACAGGGAATGAAAGATAACATGAAAATAGTTTAACAAGAGATAAATGGCAGATGAATGAATAATTGAAATAAAATGTGATTAATGCTATCATAGAAACATACATTAAAAATTAGAAAATAGCAAATCTATCTGAAAGCCTACAGTCCTATACCCTCTAACCAAAAACCAAACCCGTTGTCGTTGAGTTGATTCTGACTCATAGCTAGTAGAACTACCCCATAGGGTCTCCAAGGCTGTAAATCTTTATGGAAGCAGACTGCCACATCTTTCTCCTGCAGAGCAGCTGGTGGCTTTGAACCACTGACCTTTTGGTTAGCAGCCGGGCGCTAACCAAAGAACCACTGCACCACGAGGGTTCTTCCCATCTCCCTTATCCTACTTTAATTTTTTCCACAGCATGCATCATCATCATCAACTATATATTTACTTGTTTATTAGTTGGTTACCATTCATCCTCAACTAGAATATGACCTCCATGTCTGTCCTGTTGCTTTCTGTATTTTTAAGATAGTATCTAGCACATGGTAGGTTCCTAATAAATCCTCTTGGAAATAAAAGGGATGAAGCTTCTACATGACCATAAAGAAGAAAGTTTTGTGTTTTTTCTTTTTTTCCCCCAAGAGAATCAGGAAAGGCCTCAAAGTAGAGCGACCTCTGTGCCAACTCTTGAAGGATGAAGAGGAATTAATCAAAAAGAGAGAACGGCTAGACTTGGCAGAAGAAACTGAGTGTACAGAAGCATAGAAGTGAGGTGGGATAAGTAATATTTGGGGATTGTTATACCTGATGGGCGTGTGGCTGGAATCTGAAGGCATATGGAGAAGATAAGGCTGGGAAGGGCCAGAGAGTTAGGGTCTCATGTGATATGCTAAGAAGTTTGGACTGTTTACCTCAAGGCAGTGTGAACTATCAAAGATTTACAAATGGGTAATAACAGGAGGGAGCCCCTGGGTAGTGCAAATGGTTAATGGGCTTGGCTGCTAATAGAGGTTTAAGTTCCCACGGGTGCCTTGGAAGAAAGGCCTGGTGACCTACTTGCAAAAAATGAGTCATTGAAAACCCTATGGAGCACAGTTCTACTCTGACACATAAGGGTCACCATGAATAGGAGGTGACTTGAAGGTTACTGGAAATGAAATGAAAAAAAATGACCAGGGCAGATGTACACTTTAAGATAATGGAGACTCGAGTTGTGCTTTGCATTTCTTCAGAAATGCCATTCCCGGAATGAAAGGTGGTTACAATTCAGAATGTGATAACAGACTTTCAGAAACAAGGAACATGTCATCAGTAAGAAAACAGAAAATCACCTTCCATGACGACAAGCCGTGTAGACGGTACCCTCCTCGCTGCCAACCACGAAGTTATTGACGTCTCCTGTGGGGAAGGCCATTCCGGTAACAGCCACAGACTTGGACTTATTGTACACCAGCTCCATGCTCTCCTACCAAAACACGGCAGTTACATTTCCATCTGTCAACTCCTTGCCATGCCAAAGATAGCACGGAAAAATCATTTGGCTAAATTGTCTGTTTGCTTTTCACACACCGTTACAAAAGACCCCGTCTGTGCCAGAAACCACGCTTTACTGCCCTCACATTCATGCTTCTGTGTATCTCTGATTTCAGGCTGGCTGGATTTCGTCAGTGTGTGCTGCTGCTTCTACAGTCAGGCTGAGATGATGGTGAGAATTTTGAAACTAATGGTGCAGAAACTAAAGATAATGCTGTAATGGTTACACTTGTCAACCCCAGGCTTTAATAAAACACACAATATCCTTGTATTTACAAACATTTTCAAAATCAATTGTTCATGAGAATACACATGTATTAATATCAGATGTACTAAGCACATTTGTCAAAGCAGTACTGTATGTCCGCCATGGACTAAAACCAGAAAGTTGCCACTCAGGTCATAACAACCAGATTTCAGCAGGGACTAGTCTTCACCGAAGGGCAGTCGTTGGGAGCACAGGCTATGAACCTGCAAAGTACTGTGTTCAAACAATTCTTTAAAACAGTAAATGAGAGTATTTACTACAAAATTATTTTCTACACTGGGAACTCAAGGGTATTTTAAAAGATATACTGCTGCGTTAGTTTTATGACAGTAAAGAGTATTTAAGCATGACTGATGTCCTTGAGCATTTCTGGCTGCTGACATAAAATGGCCTATTTTGTGCACCTGAAATTATTTTAAAAAATCATTCTGGGATACCATACTATTATAGTTGCTTGGGGGTTTGGTCTTTCTTATGCAAACAAACTGGTCATCTGGCAAAGGAGTCAATAAACCGAAAGCTCAGCTAACAGTATCTGCAGCACAGACCACGTGGTCATGCAACATGCTGGCAGTAAGTGAGACCCCCACTTAGTGAGCACATCAGTATCTGGACTAAAGGAGGAGACGCTGTGACAATACAGTATAGAAAAGAGGACCGTGCAAGCTCTGCACCATCACTAAAATTAGCAGCAGAGAAGGTAAAGTCTCTCTCTCTCTTCCATCTACATTTTATTTGTTAAATTTTATTGTGGTAAAATATATATCTAACAAAAAGTTTTCCATTTTAACATTTTTTAAGTGTACAGTTCAGTGACGTTAATTACATTCACCATGTTGTGCAACCATCACCACTATTTATTTCCAAAAGGTTTTCATCATCCCAAACCTCCCTTAAGCAATAAGTCCCTCATTCCCTGAACCCCTGGTAAACACTAATATACTTTTGTCTCTGTGCATTTGCCTATTCTAGATAGTTCATAAAAGTGAGATCATATGATATTTTTTTGTTGTTGTTCAACATTTCACTTAGCATAATGTTTTCAAGGTTCTTCCACGCTGTAGCAGGTATCGGGACTTCATTTCTCTTCATGGCTGAATAAAATTCCATCTTATGTCTATACCACATTTTGTTTATCCATTCATTTGTTGATGGACACTTGGGTTGTTTTCACCTTTTGGCTGTTATGGAAAATGCTGCGGTGAACATTTGTGTACAAGTATCTGGGTGCCTGCTTTCCATTCTCTTGGGTATATAAGAAGGTGAAAGTCTCCTGGCTGCCAACTTAGGAGAGAAAGGGACCAGCGCAACTGCCAGATGCACCCACTCCTCCCTGCCATCCACAGAAGCCATGCCATGAAATTCTCAGTCTATGTTTAGAGATGGGCAGCTATGGGCATGAAAAGACGAATAAAAATGTCCTTGTAGCCCCTGTGCGACTGGGCAATTAAACATTCCTACATTGAGGGTTCTCTCTTATGTCTATTTATCATCTCTGTTCTTTAAAAGGAAACAACATATTGCTGAGACTGTTAAGACAAGGCCACAAAATACCCACGCACAACTCCAGGCCTGTGTGATGTTAACGATCAGCAAAAGCAGAGGAACTTAAAAGAAACAGCCAGAACGGAAATAATGAGAATGCTCATGCATTGTGAAGAATGTAACCAACGTCACTGAACAATTGGTGAAGAAATTGTTGAATGGGAACTTACTTGCTGTGTAAACCTTCACCAAAAACACAATAAAATATTTTTTTTTTTTTTAAAAAAGAGGAACTTAAATTGTAAGCAGCTTATTAGTTATCTGTCTTTTTTTCACTTAAAATGAAGAGAACTGTATTTTGTGGAGGCTTAAGGGAGATTCTTTACAGTTTCCACATTTCCTCATGTACTTTGAAGCTTCAATGTCTCCTAGAATTATATAAGAGACATTCTAGGGTCATTAATCCAAGAAAAGGAATAGAAATGTAAAGTTGAGACTTTTCTTCTAGATATCTTTTACAATTTTCTTGACGTTTCCTCACATTTTTGTCAAAGGCTGTGACAATAAACTCTTTGTGTTTTTCAATTGGAGGACAGTGAAGTCTTTTTATTTTTTCCTACAAAGAAATGTGGAAAAAGTGTGTACAGTTATATGTGTGTGTGTTTATGTGTATAGCTATAGGTACGTGTCTCTCTGGGTGTATGGATACACACATACATCCTGATGTATTTAAGACGTCTCTCCAAAGGTTTCCTCCACTTTCACCCCTTTGTTTGGTTTCTATTACAGTAATCAGTAGTGGTTTGGAAACTCTGGAACTTTTTCATTTTCGACTTCTCATTTGTTGAGCAAGGAATGGCAGGAGCCATACGAACAAACATTCCGGAGGAGAAAACAGATGGTTGGACAAATTCTTCCTATACATAGTCGGTTGCCTAGGCTACGGACACAAGCAAGGGTTTGGATTTCTGCTTTGCGGAGATACCTTTTCTCCAAGGCAAGTGACTATAAGGGATTGCTCCGCTGAGCTCCAACCTTGTTTGCATTTGTTTAACAATGCAGTTGGGTGAGTACAATTTATACCACAGGCAACTTCCATAATGACTATGCTTTAAAACGGATTATTTCATTTTCACTTGAAACTGACCTAAGTATTAACGTATTACAATAATTACATGATTTGTGGTAAAGGAAATGGGTTTTGGCTTCAAGACGAGACTGCTGTAAGCAGGCCCCACTCTTTCAAGTGCATCCATTGGTTTTAGCTCACATAGGATGTGAGGGTTTGGCTTTTAGGAACTATGTTCCATTAGGCAGGCATCTCTTTTAACCAGGATGCTGTCATGTGTATGGGGAAAACAAACCCACCTGTGGAGTTGAGAGCATGTCCAGGCTCCAGGAACACATTTTACCATCAGTAGAGACAGTGATGAGGTTATGAGCATTCTGGGTCCCAACAACATTTACACAGTACACGGGATGCTGAGAAAACATAAACATGGGGGATCAGACACAGATCCAAGTGGAAATGCTTACATTTGAGTGTCAAACACATTCCTCTATAACAAGGATTAGGGAGTGACATAATCCTACAATAATGTAAGCCTCAGGTCATTTGCCACTTTCGGTTTGAACCTGTTTCTTTCTGAAAGCTCTGGCAGCCACACATAGTAGTGGAAATACTTACAGCGCTTCACCTTGCTCAGTCAGATGCAAAGCAATGGAACTGAAGAAAGCTAGAGCAAATGAGGATTGATGGGGCAGAAGAAGCTCAGAGAGGTGAATCTGAATTACTTGAATGAGTCGTCACCACATAGCTTGGCTTCTAAACTCAAAATGAGCGATTGAAAAAGACAGTCTTCAAAAGGGGAAGACTATGGAAGAAGTGTTACTAAATTTGGGGTTTAATGCATCACGGTCACAGTGCCAAACATTTGTTAGCATTCTTTATAAAAAAGTGGTTAATATGCATCAGCCTCTTTAATTTGGGCAGAGATATGGGTGGGAGAAATTGGCACAAGGAACCTACTGAGATAAAATTAGGTTCTTTTATGTTACTGCAAAATCTAGGATAATGATAGATTTATTTTTCAAAATATCATTTGGAGTATTATGGAGGCTTACATTTAGCTAGAACTCTGAAAAAGGTCATTTTTATATCCTAGGAACTGTAAGCAAGATGCTCTAACCTTCTGTCATAACTCTAGTAGATTATCCCACTGTGCAGAATCCTAAATGGTATGCTAAAATCATTTGCAGCTGCACATTAAATACTAAATGGAAGGTTAGCATAAGCAGAACCTAGCAGTAATTTGGGTTAGATTTCAGGCAGCTTAGCCATCAGTGGCCAAACCGCAACTTACTTGATGCTTCTCTGTGCAAATAGCTGACAGTCTAAGTCTTATTCTTGATGAGTAACTGTCCATAATACCTCGCCACAACTACAATGAAACAACCTTTAATACTGGAAAGTTGATATTATATAAAGGTTGGTTCCCAAACTATTATTATCATATAAACTCCTGGTCAGGAAGTACCCTAATAATCATCTAGTACAGCTACCCATCTGCATCTACCAAGAAGTGATCCAAATTCTGCTAAACACCTTTCTTAAAGGGTGACCATGTTAGCACTAATTCATAGAGAGTTTTTTTTTCTACCAATGGGGATGAAGAAAATTCAAGAAGTTACTTTCAGTATCTTCCCACTGGGATCATATAGATCAAGTCAAAACAATAGAGCTTTTTGAATATTTATAGGTTGTTGTTATATTCCCCCAGTCTTGTCTTACTCAGACTAACCTTGCCAGTTCCTTCCGCTATTCCTTGGGTGCCTGGTTTTCAATACCTTCCCCATTCTGATCAATCTCTTCTGAATGTACCCTGTTTTGTCTGAGTTCCTCTTACAGTAAAGTTCTGGGAATGATACACAACCATCTACCTATCTTCTGATCAGCAGAGTGTAGAAATCAGGGCAGTGCTGTTGTCACTTCTCCTGTGTTAGAAGATATGGCTCTATTAATTCAGTCTAAGATTACATTTGCTTTTTTTGGCAATCGCATCACCTCTTTCACCCTTGCTGATGGACAGTCAGCTAAGCCCCTGTATCTTTTTCATACCATGTTCCTATGGAAACTTTCAAGTGAATGAGCCTTAGCAGACCTGCACAGTAGCAAATGGAGCAGAGATCTGAAACTAAATGTTATCCTAATGAGATCGCTATATGTCAAGAGGACTGATTTGTTATGGAACTATAGACAACATTCTTACCCAAATCTCTGGTATATGCGGAAACTGAAATAGTATGTGAACTCAAGGCTCTATGTGGAAATCAAATGAAAGAATGCCTGAAACAAGTTCTCACCTAAAAATAGCAAACTTAATAAAACTCAAGCATAGGAAAGCAGGGTCCAAATATTGTCATGAACTTGAAATTCACCTAGTTTTTCCAGGAAAAATGTAGCTTTTTTGATAATCACCACACATCAACACAAATCACTGAAACCCAAACGGACTGGGATTCCTAAGGGTGTAGCAGGGAAATAAGGCAAATCTACAAGAATGTATAGAGCCAAATGCTTGAAGAATGAGTGTGTGTTATTCCTCTTCCCTGGCTTTAACCAGTACTACTGGCCTGTAATAAAACTAGGTTTAAGAGAAAAGAGAGAGATGTAAAGAAACCAGAAGAACAGAAGTGGACACTTGAGCATGCATACTCATACACACACACATATACACGACTCTACTTAAAGGAAAGAAAAAAGCAATGGTACAGCTCATTTTTCCAGTACAGTTGCCAGATTGTTTTTTATTTATTTTAGGAATAAACTTACTGTGTGGCAGAGGATTTTGTTTTAATTATGATTTCCTGTTGTCCAAAATGCATATGTGTGGTGGGTGTGAAAGGAAATTAGTTAGTAATCTGTGGTGGGCCTCTTTTTCCTTTTTGATCTGGGTACCAATCAACCAAGCAACAGTGGAACTTGAACCACAATCAAAAAATTTAACTGTGCATTTTTAGCTATGGATTAGATCAAATACAGCAAAAGAGAAAAAAAAAATTTTTTTTTAGATTTCCTAACAGAAATAATGCCATTCAATTTGATAATAATAGCATGTTAGTTGTGATGATCACACTCTTTAGTTAATGGAAGAGGAATGTTAACTCTTTGGAAGAGCTCCTGGATTTGGATTCTCCCTAAAAGGTTACTGCTAAATGTTTTAACATTAAGATTTATATATATATTTTGAAATTTCAGAAAGTATGCTCACCAATACATCAGACATCCACAGAAACGGTTTGACACTACTTGAGCAAACACCTGAATCAAGCCCGTCTTCTCCTGGGGTACAATTTTCTGTTATTAGTTTGGAGAAATGGGGTAGGCAAGAGCAATTTTCCAAGATTCCCAAGAACTAGTTCCACCTGCATATGTCCTAGGCCCAAGTCAATCAGAATTAGGGCTGACTTGGTATTTGTTATTTCACATTGTCAATCTTACAAAAGTGGCAGGATTTTCCTCCTCATGGTGTTAGCTAAAGCGACTAGCAATCTTTTTTCAAGCCAGAATGGTTTTTGAGGCCTGCAGATGAAACAAATGAGGCAACCACATTAAGGAAATTGAAAACAATGGTAGAGCTGTATCCGTGGGCATAATTTGGGCATTTCAGAGAAAGAACATCAGTTACCCTGAATGTCAAGGTAGCAAGGATTGATGGAGACATGCCTGTTTTCTTGTTCCTCCTAACAATTGCCATACACACCTGTCATTCTCTTAAAGGAAATGACAGTATAGTTGTCTTATGAACACTGTACTGAACCTCTTCTACTAAATTATAAGTAATGGTTTTGAGATGTTGACTTTTAACCTTATGGATTATACTGTCACTATAGACTTTACATTGAGACTTACACCACGCATTCCAGAATTTAAAGTCATAGTACTCCTCAAATCACAAACGGAAAAGGTGAAAGTCCCATAAACCATTGCTAGATACGAAATGCTTATTCCTCATTAGAAAATATATGTTTCCAGCTAATAATGCAGATGTGAAGAGTTTCTTTAGGAAAACAGTTCCACAGATGCCTTTTCCAAAAGGTCAATATTTCTGTGTCCTTCTATAGTTTGAATCCATTTTCACTGGTGGCCTTTTGAGTATCTAAAGAGATTTTTCCTATGTGCTAGAAATTGTAGATTATTAAGACATTTCTCTAAGTCTGGTGTTTCCTTCACCTACTTTTCACTCAGATTTATTCTGGCCAGTCAGGATAAGATCATCATAAATTAGATACTTCTAACTTGGAGCTAGGAGCTCTGGTGGTGCAGTTGTTAAGCACTCAGCTGCTAACCAAAAGGTTGGCAGTTTGAACCCACCAGCCACTCCGTAGGAGAAAGATGTGACAGTCTGCTTCTGTAAAAGATTTACAGTCTTGGAAACCCTACAGGGCAGTTCTACTCTGTCCCATAGGGTCGCTATGAGTTGAAATCGACTCAACGGCAGTGGGTTTGGTTATTTTTTTGGTAACTTGGAGCTACTGGCAGAATCTGTACTTTTGTGAGTTGAGCTATTTCTTCCTTCAGGACTTAGGTAGCTGACAGAAATGTGGCAAAAGTTCCACTTACTGTGTGTGCAGCAGCTGACAAGGGTGTCCTCTGCACTGGTGTCCTTCGATGACTGCGATTATCCCACAGGACAATCTGGCCTGAGTAAGTCCCACCGACCACCAAGTTGGGATGGAAACGGGCGAAGCAGACTGACATCACAGAGGACTGGAGGGAAAAGGAGAGAGAGAGAGAGAGAGAGATGCCAGAGATTTCAGAGCACCATCAGATTGTTGGAGAACTCTCGTTTCTTCCTGAAGAGAAAACAGTTCATCTCATAAACTCAGCACATCCTGGAAAACATGAGGTAGTTTAAAGCTGGGATTAAGTGCATAGCTAGCAGGAGATTTTGTACACAGGTATGGACTAGAAGTTGCCCAATGCTTCCCCTTGAGACTTAAATTTGAAGGCCTGGCCATGTTATCAAATAAGCATAAAACCTACATTATGTACTTCATTGTTTTGTGGTCTGTAAAGCTTGGTTTATGGACACTTCCCATTCATCAGTAGAACTGCAACAGAACTAATATCAATTCGCCATTGAAGTCTTTACAAAGTGATTATTTTGAAGGCATGGCCACTTCAAGTTATACTATATACAGTGTTGGCAAAGGCAGAGTAACTTTAGCTTTGAGAATTTGCGATGAGGTGTGTTTTTTTTTTTTTTTTTTTTTTTTCGCTTAATGTAGACTTTTAGGAAGTGTACTGACCAGCTGGTTCCTCCCAAAGTTTCCACACCTCCCATGGGCATTCTCCCGACCTTTACCCTGCCCACTTCAGACAATTCTTAATGTTATTCTTTGCCTATTTTAACAAACAGTCAGAAATGGATTTCAGTCCAGCTCTGCCATAGTCTATCATAGCATCACAAATGTGGTTTCTGAAATTCCACAGAAGACTACTGGGCACTATATTTTATAGGAAATTGTTTAGCTGAGGCAGAACATGATACACTTAAAATCAGACAAGTCAACTGCTCCACATCTGCTAAAAAGTACGTTTGGATTTTTGCAGTATTTTGTACATTTGCATTTATAAGCTAATTGTTTTTAACAAATATTTTTCATCCCTTCAATTAAATTCAATGAAAACCATTGAGTACTTACTATATGTGAGAAAGGGATTGTTCCAGGTATGGTGGGAATATAAAGGTAGTCATTGTCCTCAACAAACTTGTGCCCTGGTAAGAGGAATTAAAAAACGTGTACACAAATGAAGAGAACTGCTGCTAGCCCATATAGTGTCTTTGTGTGAAATAGAAAAAACGGTGCCCCTTTGCATAGACACAGTCAAGCAGGTAGGTGCATGCCTTGGCAAGTGGAGAGTAAGTGGGATTTTTTTGTTCCCACTTGCATCCTTGTGCAGGGCACAACCCACACACCTAGGTAGCAGTCTGGAATGTGATACATGCCATGACTAAATCATAGGAACATATAGTGTGTTCATGCATGTAATGCAGGGGAGAAGAGAGTTGAAATGGTGGGATGGCTAGAAAGACCTCATAAAGGAGGTTCTATTATACCTTGAAGTATATGTGGAACATTTAGCAAGTGAAAAGGAGAAGAAACAGGCATTCCTGAGAGATGGGATAATGGGAACAAAGGCCTGGAGACAGCAAAGCAGAGGGTGGTGAATGGCCCATAGTAGGGTTTGGCCGGGAGGGAGCTTGCCTGGGAAAGTGGGTAGTAAGAAATTTGTGTGAAGAGGTAGACTGGGCCAGATAAGAGAAGGCCTTGAGTGGCACCCATAAGAATTTGGATTTTCTTTCTGTGGGCAATAGTGAGAGGATAAAAGTTGTAACTGATAGAACAGCAAAGTAAAGAAGTGATTAAAAAAAAAAAATATATATATATATAGTCGCTTTCTGACTGGTAAGCTAAGCTTCCATTTCTAAAAAATTCAGATCTACTGTCAGCCTAAGGCTTTTTTGTCAGAAACAGTCTCAGATACTCTGAGGTAGAATTAGGAATGTATACTGTATTTTTCAGTCATATTTTTCTAGTTTGAATGATTTTCAGTCCCAATTCCTTGAACACGATTCGATGGAGAACATGCATCATGCCTCAATCTGGTTTTCATAAAATTCAAGAATAACTCTCAATAATGATACTGAAGTAAAAAAGAAAGAAATAATGCTGGTCAGCTTCTTGTTTTACACATCCCACAGAAATGATTCTTAGTTTTCAATTGATGAAATTCTTATGTTGCTTGAGCTATGTTGGAAACATTTTTTTTAAAAAGCTTCAGAAAGACTTAAAATTAACCAGGTGGTATCAACAATTGAATTTACCAAAGCTCAAATCAGTATGGATAATGGAATGCCATTCAATTTGAAAAATCCAGAGTTCAACCACTTGATTGCTTCCGTGCTTCAGTTAAATCCCAACAAATACCCCTCCTAATCTTTTACAGTTTGTTGAGAGACTAAACTAGAGAAAAACAAACAGTGGAGATATTTCTACATAACTCAAACACAGACGGCAATCAACTGCTTTAATTTTTTTTAGACTCCAACCCCACCAGGTGAGAACTCTATCCAATACTTAGTTGATCATTCATTCATTCATCCATTCACTCTCCCTTCATTCACTCACCACTTAGCCCCAATTAAGCACTGACTAAATCATTTCAAAAAATTTCAAGTGCCACAAAAGCTCTCTATCTCAAAGTCAAAATTCAATTTAAATTTGATAAAAAAGTTAAATTCAAGCTAAAACAAAATAACATCTTGGAGTACCAGAGATCTACCATCAGTGTCCACTGTGTTTTGCAGCTAACCAATCTGTACAATATCTCCATGACAATAAATAAGTAACCTGTTGCCGTCAAGTTGATTCTGACTCATACCGACCCTATAGGACAGAGTAGAACTGCCCCATAGGGTTTCCAAGGAGCACCCGGTGGATTCGAACTGCCGACCTTTTGGTTAGCAGCCAAACTCTTAACCACTTTGCTACCTGTGTTTCCAATAAATAAGTAGACATACTTATTTTCCTTTTATATTTGGAAGATTAGAAATGGATGAGTAGCTACGTGATTTATCAGTTCCACTTATTTTGAAGCTCAATACATTACTTGTTACATTATGGATACACATGCATATATATATGCATATATATGTTCCAGTTACCAGTTGCTGTCAAGTTGCTTCTGACTCACGGCAACCCCATGTGCATCTGAGTAGAACTGTGCTCAACAGGGTTCTCAGTGGCTGATTTTTCAGAAGCAGATCATCAGGCCTTTCTTTTGAGGTGTCTCTGGGTGAATTAAACCTCCAACCTTTTGGTTAACAGTTGAACACATTAACCATTTGCATCATCCAGGAACTCCATATATACGTATATGTGTGTGTGTATATAAATATATGTGTGTGTGTGTGTATATACATACATACATATGTTCACACACACACATATATATGTATGCACACACACATATATATATATATATGGAGCCCTGCTGGTGCAGTGGTTAAGAGCTACAGCTACTAACCAAAAGGTCAGCAGTTCGAATCCACCAACCGCTCCTTGGAAACTCTATGGGGCAGTTCTACTCTGTCCTATAGGGTCTCTATGAGTCCGATTCAACTCCATGGCAACAGATATATATATACAAGGTTCAAAACAGATCTCTAGAACGTGCCAAACTTGACTTACTATCACTCATATGGAAACACTAAGGCTGTATGACCTCAATTATCTAGATGCAAAGTTTAGAATTCAGTCATTTCTCAAGATGTTTTTAAGTACCCTGATGTTTGATACAATGGTGGCAAACATTTGGATGAATGACTGAATTTTTTATTCTTCATCTAAATGTTTAGGTTCCTTTAGACATGTGGGACAGTCCCCCACCTACAGCCCTGACAATGTAAACTCCTCTTCTATTTAGAAACTCTGTATCATCCCTCCTCAGAGCAAAGTGTCTTTGAAAATCTCTTCAACATCCTGCCAGTCATACAGCCACTGACCCAGCTGATGCTGCCAATTGTGGAACGTACTGACTGTCAGTGAAAGCAGCAAATGATGTTATCCGTCAGTTATCTTTATCTAGAAGACAGTAAAAGGCAATTCCAAAAAATTGGTTAACACTACTAAAAACTGTAGAGTTTTTTATTGTCCTCATTTTTAACAGTACATTTTCTGAAGATGAATTCTATGAAAAACATTATTAAGCTTATTAATGTTATTTAAAAACTAGTTCACTGCTTTCCTAGGCATTTCAAATTTTCTATTAATTCTATTATTAAGTAGTATAATAAAGCATTATTAAGATATACAGTTAATACAGTTTAGACAAACAAAATTATTTGGAAACAAGAAGTTTCCCCACCTTATTATCCTTGGTGCTATATAAGTATATATATGTGGTTTATATAAGGGGAAAAATAATTATAAAGTTGACATGAATTTTTAGATAATGGTAACTGTCTAATCAAAGGAAGCTGTCCTGACAATAGAGTTGAACTCTGTTTTTACAAAGCTAGTGATTTCACTGACGTAGCCATGTTGTCAGCCAAATCAGGGGCTCAGAAATATGATAAGGTCATACGTTACTAAAAGCTTGATGTAAAACTGGTAAGGCTGACTGACTATATTCTGTTTCTAACAGCACAAACATCACATTTTGATTATTTGCATAATATAGCTCCCTTAAATCAGGACAAGCAATGTTTTGAGACTATGTTTTGAGGACTAAGCTATCTCTATTGACAATCCCTGGTGTCCCCTGCTGCCATCATTAGTCCAGAGACTCCTGAGGAAACTTGGTTTATTTTTCAATCTTGAGCAGACTGTCTGCTCCAAAGGCAGCCCCCCTCCTTATCCATATTGCCTCAGGTCCACTTACGCATGAGCTGACCCAGCAAACAGAGTTCCACACCCCTATCATCTATTTCAAGAGAAGTCAATTTACTTTAGCCCCTTCACTGAGGGAATTCCACAGAGATGATACGGGTGGAGACTCACTTTCAACGGCTCCCTTCCTTCACTGAGCACCACTGCATTCAATTCAAGTCTGCCCAAAGCCCTCTTTAAGTGGCTGTGGAGGCTGTTTTCTATTTTGTAGAGTTAATCCAGGCCAGTTTAGGGATGGTACTTCCCCTTAGCCACAGACCCATATGCCCAGGGCAGACAGACTTTGGTCATTGCTGGCTGGGAGCTTGCCTCCTATGCTCACCTTTGATCTGATTGCCAGTGTCCTTCTCTGTGTGGCACTCCGCCCACTCCAGAGTCTTCATGCCCAAGTGGGAGGCATAAGGGGTCTCTGCATTTAAAAGCATCTCCTATTTCAAGTACCATCTCTGCTGCGGAGAGGTGGGTCCCCAGAGAGGGAATGGCCATATTGTTGCCATATGCTGTTTAATGGTAGTTGACATTTTATTTGCCTAAAAGCAAATGCCTAACTGTCGGAGGGCTGTGAGGCAGACAGATCAGATGCTTCTGGCTACTAGTGAGCTAGTATATATTTCTGCAAGTACCTAAGAAAACCACAAAAATATTTCTTTTGTTAATGGAAACGTGTAATTGGAGAACACTGCTGTCGAAAACCCCTCTTAGACGCAATAATGTAGCACCAGGCATCTGACAACGTGGAAGGTGTGAAGGGGGTAAAGCTAAGATGTGAGTTACGAGTAGGGCACTTAGCTTTAACTGAGATGAAGGGGAAGGCATCTTGTTTCCTTCAGAACCCTCTCTGCCTCTGTCTAATTCTCTTTCCCAGAATGGGCACATTATTCTTCCAAACTCCAAGAGGAATGACCATCTATGAAAGTTATCACCCCATTAGTGCTAGGGTGTCTAGGAGCAAAGATTGAGTTAGCTTGCCTGCCACCTCTTGACTCAGTGTGTATTAAAGAATAAAAGCAGTTAATTCTAAAATTTTATTCCCCAAAGATTAGAAATGACTTATCCTGATTACTTTTCTTAGAATCCTGTAGTATTTTCATGTGTTTTAGTCTTGAGACCCTAGCACGTGCCTGGTTCTGGGCTATG